AAAACTCATTTCTCACGTTTTAAAGTACCTCTAAACGACACGTCCTGCCCGAAATACAGTTATTTTCCATCCAAGCAAGAGAGGTTTTACGGACGTCACACTCGAGAGACTCCTCGCGTGACGTAGACTCGTGACGTACCAGCTGTTACCCCTTACGTCATCTGCCTCTCGTTTGCGCTAAACTGTAGCGAACTCAGCCGATGTCGCTAACTTTATTCCCCCGTAAAGTCCGGTGCTTCACTCCTTATCAATCCTGAAGGTGCGACGAATCCCTGCAAATTATATTTTAGGCTACTGGGTGTCGATTTATTCTTGTTGGGGTGTTTGGATCTGATCTTCTTTGGTCCTGGAACTGGTTGGATGTGAGTTTGCCAGTTGCAAGTGTAACGGCAGAAAGCTTACATATATTATGAAAATGTTGCAAACTTCAAACGTGATTCAACATGATCCAGCATTCATTGAGAAAAACGACATGCATAATCAGTGTTTACTACACACAGCAGCATATTGTCCATCTGTTTTCATCATTTCAGAAATGTTATTCCTCATGATCGAAAACCATCATCTATCCGCCATGAAGGCAAATAAGGCTCATATAACAGAAAGGATAACTTTACGTTTTTTTTTCTCTTAGAGGGCAAACATCCTAGCGCTAGAGAGAGCAAGGCAGCACAAGGCGCTAGGTATCTCACTACGCACCGGGATGTCACGAAGGACATCATTTCCCCTCAATATTTTCCGCATACTTTAAGTAAAATGGCCATATATTTCACGTGGTAACTAAGGAAAGGCATGAATTATGACCGCAGGAATGTTAAAAGAGTAAATAGGAAGAGCAACGACGTAGAAAAATCTTAAATTCCTCTATCGCGAAAATATAAGTTCCAATTTCTCCTGTTGAGAGAATACATTGAAGTTCGCGTTTTGATATCACATCTGTTCTCCTACCCCCACCCCTCGAAACTCCATCGTATATAACCAAATTCTATTTCAACACCCCTCCATCCTCACAAACGACAAGATATAATGCAGTGAGCTACGATGAATAAACGCAATCCAGGCTAAACCCGGGCACTACTTTGCGCGGCGGAGGAAGAGAGACGTCACACGCAGGGACGCGCAGCGGCTCACTCGCACCTCGGCCTCACACGCGTCGAAAATGCTGCTTTGGATAATAACCGAGTGACCTTTGATTTCCATGATTAATTCGTACATTCTGCTATGGATGTGATACCTTCAACGTCACGGTGTAATAGTGCGGTGAATAAGCAATTTAGTGCCGTAGAAATTGGTAAGTTATTCGCGGAGGAAGGGTGTGAAATAAATATTTGAAAGAGAGGTGAATTTCGCGGTTTAACGAAGAGTCTTTCTCTGTTGCAGAGCTGTACCTTTTGATCAAGAAGTATTTATCGTCCGGTCCCTGCAAGAAAGCGTATGAGGTAAGTGTTGCTGATGATGCAGTGCAATATCTACCCGTGATCTAGCTGGATCTGACGAGTTTTCTTCTCGTTTCAGGTGCTGAGGGCCGAAATTGAAGAAAATCAGGTGAGTTTGAGATGTTGTGGCATCTGTCAGCTGACGGAACACGTGGTTTTGTGTACATTGTGAGATGCCGGTAGTGGGGGGCGTGTGTGGGAGGGGACAGAACCCCCCCGAGTCACACATTTCAGGTGCCCCCCCGACCTCTATGTCATTTTTACATTTTTCTCCCTTTTCGCAGTTACTACCGAAGAGATATGACTGGCTGGGCAATGAACATAGGAAATCACTCGATGAAGTGGTGAGTACTATGAAAAATTTGACCCCTGACCCCGTTTGTACCCGCGGGAACCCGGGGGAATGGTGGGAAAGTCTGCGGGAAGGTGTGGTGTAACATATATGTGAAATAAAGACATTGTGCAGCATTGATCATGGTCTGGCTGGAAGGTTTCGGTGAAGGAAAACATTTCTCCCAGTGGCGTAGCTTGGCGCGGGTGGCGGTTGTAGGCGTGCCAAATATTCATTTTTTCTCCTCCTTTCCCTCCCGCCTCGTTTCGCCGTCTGGGTCTGCATTGTCTTTTATCGTGGAGATACTTTATAAAAGTTTAATGTTTAAAAAAAATGTGTAACTTCGAAGCGAATGGGAAGCGGTAAAATGAGAGATAGAAATAACTATTTGGAACCTCGACTGGATGCGTGCCAGCCACACCAAGTGACGAAACTGGCGACCATTCAGATTCGCCGGAGAGCCGCCGCGGGAGCACAAGCTCGGTTCTCATTGGTCGGCAGACGTCGGCGGGGAGGGGCTTGCCGTAGGGATCAATATTGTGCAACAAGAGAAACAAAGAGGTTGCAAGCCAAGATGAGCGCTATTGGAAGGCGGCCAGACCACCACCACCACCACCTCCTCCCTTTCTCTCCTTCCCTCCCTCTCCCCCTCTTTGCTCTCCCTCCCTTTGTCCCAGCCCCCTCTTTGCTCTCCCTCCCTTTGTCCCGTCCCCTCTTCAGCCTTTCCCTCTATCCTTTTCCCCCCTCTCCTTTCGCATTTTCTGCTCTCAGCCATTCGTCATTCCCCTCCTTTCCTCGCCTCTCTTCCTCCATCCTCCCCATTGTCGTCGTACTCCTTTCCTTCCCTTCCCATCCCTTCCCATCCCTCCCTCCCTCCCCCCCCTCCCCCATTCCTTCCCTTCCCCTCCCCTTCCCTCCCCCTCCCCCTCCCCCATTCCTTCCCTCCCCCTCCCCCTCCCCCATTCCTTCCCTTCCCCTCCCCCTCCCCCATTCCTTCCCTTCCCTTCCCCCTCCCTTATTCCTTCCCTCCCTCCCCCTCCCTCATTCCTTCCCTCCCTCCCCCTCCCTCATTCCTTCCCTCCCCTCCCCTTCCCTCCCCTCTTCCCTTCCCCTTCCCTCCCCTCTTCCCTTCCCTCATCCCTTCCCTTCCCTTCCCTTCCCATCCCCATCCCTCCCCTCTCCTCACTTCCCATTCCTCCTGCTCTTTCTCCACCTCCTCCTTCCCCTGCCCTAGCCTCCCCTCCTCTCCCCTTCCCTCACCTCCCCTCCTCTCCCCTTCCCTCACCTCCCCTCCTCTCCCCTTCCCTCACCTCCCATTCACCTCCTCCTCCTCCTCCTCCTGCTTCCTCCTCCTCTCCTCCTCCTCCTCCTCCTCCTCCTCTTCCTCCTCCTCCTCCTCCTCTTCCTCCTCCTCCTCCTCCTCCCTCCCTTCCCCTCCTTCTCTACTTTTCATCCTCCACTTTTCCTCTAATCCCTTCCATCCTCCTCTTTCTCTTCCACATCTTTTTATTCTCCCCAGTACCTCTTCCTTCTTTTTTCCTCCCTCTTCTCTTTTTTCCCCTATTCCTCTTTTTCCCATCCTCCTCTTTCTCCCCTCCTTTTCGTCATCCCCTTCCTACTCTTCCTCCTCCTTCTCCTTCTCCTTCCCTTGCCCCTCCCTTGCTCCTTTTTTTTCTCAGCTCTGATTTTTCCCTTTATAGACCGGGAAAACATAATATGAAGTAAATTGAATTACATTGTGATAGTCGTTAGGGTGTTGATTATCCCTTCCCACCCAACTTACTTATCAGTTCTTCACCTCTTTATATAGGCATTCCTCTCTATATAAACAACTGCACTGTTGGCATCCGGCAGGCTTCCCTCTCATTCTGTAAAACCCATAAGTGTATATAAAAAAACAACAACATTGTTTTGCCTATTGAGAAATTGTAAAGTTGAAATTTGATTGCCAAAACCCCATGTCCAGTTTTAATGTATAGCCTGTATTTGGGTTTCAATAGATAATCATTTTACTCAAGATTTTTTCTGTCTAGTCCAGTTCTAATGAGTGTTTGCTCTTGCCTGCAGGACCGTCAGCTTGGACATCTTAGTAATGACCACCTTCTACGTGTGGTCTCCCGTCTTGGGCCTGCAATCAATCAGCTAGTCAAGCTTCCATACCCTTCAGCTACTACGCTATTAGGGGCTGGTACTCAGTCGCTGCTGCGCACAGAAAATGGTGAGGGTTAATTAATTTATGATTGTTTGATTATTATTCCTACTCTTCACTACTTCCAGACAGGTTCAGGTGTTAAAAAAATTACGCTGTTGTATGAAATTATTGTTTGAGTCAAAACAGAAGTTATTCTGAAAGTCAAAATTCCTAAGATAACAAAAGTATGTGTCCCAAAATATGGGAAAAGTTTCCTATCTTTTGGTCTGATACTCAAGGTAGGCAAGATTATTAACTCCAGTTGATGAATGTTTCTCCCTACAGACTTGTATAAGAGTTACAAGACCCTGTCAGATGTGGTAGTTCGCCACCGTGGTTATCCCCCTCTCGAGCCCGTGCGGTATCTAGGGCCTCCCTGCCTCACACAGACGATCTTGGGAAGAGAACTTCAGGGTACCATCAACCAAAAACATGTGGTCACAAACAAGTTCTACAGCCGCATTCAGCTGTATTTCCGCTCAGTCGGGCACCTTTCTGCGGTGTACTGTATGCTGTTTGACCGCACGGGAAAGTATGTTCGCTCTAGATTTACGTGAGATTTAAGAGGGGTGTTTCATGGGGTGATTTCCATTGTCATGGGTACAGTAACTAATCCCTTTATATTAGCAAGGATTTCCTTGATTTAGGGATCATTCGGAAATATGTTTCAAGGCAAGAGGAGTGGCTTTTATGAATTTTTGTATATTGTTCTCACAGTTCATGTGGCCCAAATCTCAAAGTAAATGGTAACATAATCTTGCATATTTCAGCAATGATTTCCCTCATTCAGGTATCATTGAAAATGTGATTCAAGGAAAAGTAAATGGCCTTTATAAATTTTGCATATAGTTCCCACAGTTCAGGTGGCCCTAATATCAAAATAAAAGGTAACATAATCTGGTAATGCAATAAAGTCCTAACAAATTATAAAATGATATATAGATAATTACATATGATCCAAAAAGAACCCAGTTTATGCAGATTTTGTCTTGAAAAAGTTAATTTTTATAGTATGTGCATAAAAAGATCAATAAGTTTATAGATACATCTATATTCAAAATTTGCCAGATGTAGTCATAACTATAATAAAGATTTGATCACAAGCTGTTGACAATATTAATACTTCAGCACTGGTATGTCCTTGCTTACTATCTCTGTCTCTCACTTCCTGGCTCTTTGTCCCTCTTCCACCACTAATCTGATACACTGTGCAGTATCTCACTTTGACTAATTGGCTTTAGACTGGACTTATTCATAAATTTTGAGAATGAGCTGAACTGCAAGGCTGTGAATCACATGTTTACATCATAGGGATCTGTGATGGGCAGGGGCCTATGCTGTAGCCTTCAAGATCACTTTCAGAGTAATTTTATGTATAGACAGACTGTCTTCAATGATACCAGAGTGCTTTATGAAAAAAAAATATATACACTTTTTTGCATAATACCAGATCAGTAATACTAGACAGCACAGTCAGTGCAGAAGACACCTGAATAATAGTATTTTTTCCATTTGCTGTTGCCTAGAAACAAGGACAGGAGATTGCAATTGTTGTGAAAAGTCAATATATATTTTTGTTTACAAATTATAGGAAGAATCCAAAGGCACTTAAATTATTTTATTACTTACCTTCTTTAAGCCATGGTACTTTTCAACTTCTCATTCATGTTGACAGGAATTGTTTTGATAAAGTTAGGAAATCAGACTTTTAACTTACTTCCACACACCATTTCACTCCCACCACAATCACCATCTTCATGCTATGGGTCTTCAAAATCACTGACAGTAGTATCTGCTACCTTCTATGAAATTTCTTCAAGAACAGATACTCCATGCTGCAGCTTGCCTACTGAATTAGTCCTACAAACTGTAGTTGACAGACTGATACTTCTGTAGGGACATGGATAGTGTGTAAAGATTATGAAGAAGCAATAGTACTGAGTTGAGTTACACAATGTACCATGAATATTCAGTTTGGTATGTTAGGGTAAGAGGCAACTCATCAGTTATGACACTTAGGTAGGTAGATTTAACCATATATTTCATGTGAGCAGTGGGAAGGAAATTTTTATAAGCTCATCACTAACAAGTTCATTATTATTTAATTACAGATATATCATTACCGGTGCTGATGACACGTTGGTCAAAATCTGGAGCACCTTCGATGGACGTCTCATGGCCACCTTGAGAGGGGCATCAGCTGAAATTTCTGATCTTGCCATCGATGGGGAAAATACCTTAATTGCTGCTGGATCCTGTGACAAGATCATCAGAGTATGGAGTCTCCAAACTCTGGCACCTGTAAGTTTATTTATTGTTGGGGTATAGTTTGATAGTTTAAGGAATTAGGGGCTATTTTCTAAAAGTGAATTGGAAATGTGACTGTGTTATAGTTACAGGCTAACTGATTTAAACTTGTTATTCAGCTTGATACAGATATCCATGTAGATTGCCTGTAGGTTAAGATAGTTTCTTATAGTCTCTAATGCCTCAGTTTTTTTTCATATGGTAGTGCTATAAAGAAATTTTGTATGTTGACATTTATCAACCATTGGTAAAATATTTATGATAACTTCAAGTAGCTAAACAGGAGGAATATAAAGATTAAAAGTCCTGATGAATACTAATGAGATCATTCTCAACAGGTTGCAGTCCTATCCAGCCACACAGGCATGATAACTGCACTTCAGTTTTGTCCAGCACCAGACAGTGAAGGTGTCTTGGTATCAACAGGTGGTGATGGTTGCGTAGCCTTTTGGACTTACACTCGCAGATCGGGAGAAATAAAGTTTG